CCTGCGTGCTCAGTGACTGCTCCAGCGTCAAGCGGGATCGATGCGCTGGAGCTTCTCCCCGCAGTGCATCAGCTTTCTGCCACTTCCAGTTGGGCGGGAGCTCCTTCCGCCGGGGACCCAGGACGTTGCGACTGCTTGAAAGGCCATCGACTCCCTCCACGTCGAAAAAACAATTCGTCTTTCCTTTCCTCTACCACCCTCTCTCAGCATCAATTGGATCGCGTCAAAGCATCCTGCGGTCGTCCTGCAGGCTCACCGCATTTTCTCTTGTCGATACCGACGAACACGTCACCTCGCCCTGGTTGGCAAACATTGAGACAGGGCTGCGCTGTCACACGACAAGGCAGAAGTCGTTCAACCAGACGCTGAACCTTGTACGGCACTTGACCATCTCGTAAAGTCGACAGCGTCTCTCCAAAGAAAAAAGCTCAACATCCAGGACTTTGACAACACGGTTCTCCCTACCGTATTTCCGTCGACTCATAGCTGTTTGGCCATCTACCATCGCCATGGACGCCAGCCAGAAGCGATTGCTCGATGAAGACGAGGCCAAGCTTCGTCGTTCTCATGATGGATACGACTCGGAGTCAGATATTGACGTCACGGAACACCTTGCACAGAAGTCCGGGTTTGACTCCAAAGACCAACCCAAGCCTGCGTTCCTGGGGGGCGACCGGCCAGGCATACTCTCCTCGTGGAAGAGACCTTTCAAGGGTCGCTCAAGATGTTGCATCATCTTCGCGAGCATCATCTTCACCCTCTGGACTGTTCTCAGCGCCGGAGGCGCCGTCGTCTACCACAAGTACACGGGCGCGCCGCCCCTTGGTCAGTCGCCCCCTTGGTACCCAACACCCCTAGGTGGCACCGCCAAATCGTGGGCCGAAAGCTACAAAAAGGCTGCCGATCTGGTCTCCAAGATGACCCTGCCCGAGAAGGTCAACATCACGACCGGCACTGGCTGGCGCATGGGCCTTGCTGTCGGCACCACCGGACCGGCCACCAACGTCGGCTTCCCCCAGCTGCAGCTGCAAGACGGCCCTCTTGGCATCCGCTTCGCCGACAACTCAACCGCCTGGCCCGCTGGTATCACGACCGGAGCCACCTTCAACAAGGAGCTGTTCTACCTCCGCGGCAAGGGCCACGCCAACGAGGCGCGTCGCAAGGGTATCAATGTGCTACTGGGTCCCTGCGTTGGGCCCCTCGGCCGCATGCCCGCCGGTGGTCGCAACTGGGAGGGTTTCGGATCTGATCCCTACCTGCAGGGCATTGCTGCCGCTGAGACCATCAAGGGTATCCAGGGTGAGGGTGTCATGGCCACCATTAAGCACTTTGTGGCGAACGAACAGGAGCACTTCCGTCAGAGCTGGGAGTGGGGTCTCCCGAATGCCCTCTCATCCAACATTGACGACCGCACCATGCACGAGCTTTATGCGTGGCCGTTTGCTGACTCGATCAAGGCCGGCGTCGCCAGGTATGCCAGCCAGACTGCTTCTTTTCGCCATGCTCCCCTCCTTTCCTGTCTGCATTTCAGGCTAACCGTTTCAGTGTTATGTGCTCGTACAACATGGTCAACAACAGCTACGCCTGTGACAACTCGAAGCTCATGAACGGCCTCCTCAAGGACGAGATGGGATTCCAGGGCTTTGTCATGTCCGACTGGCTGGCCCAGCGTTCCGGCGTCGGAAGTGCCTTGTCTGGTCTCGACATGACCATGCCCGGTGATGGCCTTCTATGGGAGGACGGCAAGTCGCTCTGGGGATCTTCTCTGACGCGCTCTGTGCTCAACGGCTCTGTTCCCCTCAGCCGACTCAACGACATGGTCGTTCGTGTCGTTGCCTCCTGGTACCAACTCGGCCAGGATGATAAGGAGCTCTACCCGGACGAGCTTCCCAACTTTTCCTCCTGGACCGACGACAAGATGGGCGTGCTCGCGCCTGGCAGCAACACCCCGCAAGAGGAGTTTGAGGTGAACAAGTACGTCGAGGTCTTGAAGGATCACAAGGATATTGCTCGTCAGGTCGCCGCCGAAGGCACTGTTTTGCTGAAGAATGACGGCGTCCTCCCTATCAGCAAGGATGGCGAGATTGGCACCCAGAAGACGAGGCGCCACGATGGTAAGCTCAAAGTTGGCATTTTCGGCGAGGATGCTGGTCCTGGCAAGGGACCCAACTACTGCAAGGATCGCGGCTGCAACCAAGGCACCCTCGGCGAGGGCTGGGGCAGCGGATCCGCCGAATTCCCGTACCTTCTCACGCCCGTCGACTCTCTCAAGAACGGTTTCAACGACGACAAGGTTGTCGTGACCGAGCACCTGGACAACAAGCTTGACTATTACAAGAAGAACCCTTCGGTTCTGAAGGACCAGGATGTTTGCTTCGTCTTTGCGAATGCCGATGCCGGCGAGGGCTTCCTCGCATGGGGCAGCGTTGGCGGCGATCGCAACGACCTGTTCCTGCAGAAGGGCGGTGACGACCTCATCCTGCACGTTGCCGAAAACTGCGGTAGCGGCAAGGGCGATACCGTTGTGGTCATTCACTCAGTCGGCCCCGTCGACCTCGAGGCCTTCATCGACCTTCCCACTGTCAAGGCCGTCCTCTACGCCAACCTTCCCGGCCAGGAGAGCGGAGACGCTCTCGCTGAGGTTGTCTTCGGCGACGTGAACCCCAACGGTCACCTCCCCTACACCATTGCCAAGTCTCTAAAGGATTTCGGAGCCGGAGGCCAGATCATGTACCTGCCCAACGGCGTCAACCCCCAGCAGGACTTCTCGGAGGGCCTCTACATTGACTACCGTCACTTTGACAAGTACAACATTGAGCCTCGCTTCGAATTCGGGTTTGGTCTATCGTACACCACCTTTGAGTTCTCCGACATCAAGGTCAAGACTGTCAAGGACAAGTCGGCGCTGCCCTCGCCGCGGCCTTCTGACGCTGTCAAGGCGCCCAGCTTTGACGAGAAGATTCCCGATCCCAAGGAGGCCCTGTGGCCCGACAACATCCGCCGACTGCAGCGTTACAACTACCCGTACCTTGAGAAGGTGGACGATATCAAGCAGGGAGTGTATCCCTACCCTGACGGGTACGAAACGCCCCACCCGCTTTCGGGCGCCGGCGGCGACGAGGGCGGCAACCCCGATCTCTGGGAGACGTACGCTACCGTGACGGTGGAGGTGTCCAACACGGGCGAGGTGGCCGGCAAGGTTGTCCCTCAGCTGTACCTCTCGTACCCAGACACGGAGAAGGACATGAGA